TTCAAGATCTACGGGAAACAATGCATCACCCCTGTTGCAATTATGACAAGCTCTGCAAAGAACAACCATGAACACATAACTTCTCTTTGTGAAAAACTTGAATGGTTTAGAAGAGGTCGATCAAGTTTCCAACTTTTTGAACAGGTTTAATATGCAAAACTACGAGATTATTTTCTATTATTAGTTGTCCACAGTGTAATAGTCTATCTGGTTTGAGCAATGACTGTCATTGCTGAGTTAATTACTCGTGCATTTTCAGCCCCTTGTTCCAGCCATTGGTGCAGAAAATGGGCAATGGATAATCACAAAACCTTTTGCACCTGTATGCAAGCCTGGTGGTCATGGTGTAATATGGAAACTTGCTTATGACAAAGGCATTTTCAAATGGTTTTATGATCATGGGCGGAAGGGTGCAACTGTACGTCAAGTTAGGTGAGCCGTTAAATTTATTAACATACGTCCATTAATCTCCTTCATTTGGAGAATTTTGTTAATTTGGATGCCCAACTCTGTATTGACCCAAGTAATGGTGACCTTCCAGTAATGTTGTGGCCGCTACAGATTTGACTCTCTTGGCACTGGCAGGGATTGGTTTACATCACGGCAAGGTATGCTTGTTAAAAAGTTATTTTAGATCCCCCTCTTTTCTAGAACCTGCTAAATAGTTAACCCTTAGTTGCCAAAGAGCAGGAAGTTTGTTTAGATCAAACAGTCTACTCCTTATCTAATTTTCATTGCTATGGAGTTCGCTTGAGTTTACACAACGGTACCTATGTTACTAGAGAGTCCTTACAGACTTGGAAGTTCTTCTGGTTTACTGTTTTGACTTCTTGCCTTGCAACAGAAACTGGGGTTTGCATCCTGTAAGAGGAACTTGGGGGCTACAGAAGGAATTAATGTCCTAACCGAGAAAAAAAATCTTGATGGAAGGTGGGCATATGGTTTGTCGTGCATTGAGTACACAGAGTTCGACAAGTTTGGCATAGCAGATGGACCTCATTCTCGAAATAGGTATACATTTTTCTGTGAATCCAAATCTCTAATCTGGTTTACATGATATTATATGATTTGTTACCTTGATGCTTGTTGGCATGTGAGCAGCATGCTTACTCTCATATTAGCTTATACAATATATATTTTTTTCTCTGTTAAAGATTTCCATTGTTGTTATTCAGTGATAATCGTCATTCTACTTTTCCTGTCTTGTCGAATATGCTTTTTAAGCGTGAAGAAGTTGAAAATTCAATATGATTTCTTATTAATGAATTCCATTTTATACTAATTAACCATTCTATGTTCAAGGTTGCAGGCAGAGTTTCCCGCCAATACAAACATCTTGTATGTAGATTTACCTTCAGCAGAGTCGGTTGGGTCAAGTAACAGTGGAAACAGCTTACCAGGCATGGTGCTGAATGTTAAAAAGCCTATAACATTTGTAGACCAATTTGGAAAACAACACAGGTACTTTCTTAAAACTTAAGTGCTGTTTTTCCAAGTGACTATTTTGTTGTCGTCAGTAATACTTGATAGCAGATATACAAAGATAACCTCAAATTACCTTCTTTCACCAACAATAACCTCAAATTACCTTCTTTCACCAACGAACCGTTAATTACTCTGCATGGTATGCTAACCATTACAATGTGCACTATAAGAAGAGTCAGAACATGTAGCACACATGAATAATTATTACCCAGTCTCTAATCACTTTTCATTTATCATAGTGTCTCTGGTGGAAGGCTTGAATGCACGATGCAAAATATTGCTGACAGCTTTCTTAATACATGTCCATCTCGATGTTATAAGGGTATTGAAGGTATTATTTCAGTCTATATGCTGGATTATTGTGGCACACCAATCCGTGTTGGTCAATAACTTTAGTGGCAATAACTGTTGGCAGATAAGCTTGATACCTTCATTGTTTATAATGAACGAAGAAGGGTCACATCATCTGCTAAGAGGAAAAGAAGACATGCGGAGAAATCTTTACACCAAGTATGTATGTGTTTTCTATCTCCAGTTTGGGAGTAGAGCTTGGACTGAATTAAGTTTACACTTTCTTTGCACAGAACAGATGTAATTTTTCTCCCTAAGTTTAATATGTTTAAGTTGATTTCACGTGTAGACTCCTGATGGTTCACTGTTGGATATCCTACGGAATGCCCATGATCTTCTTTCACAATGTGATATTGAACTTCCTGAGGTACATCCTCTTAATTCTGTTGTAATAATGTTAATAACTTACTTCCATATGGTGTGAGCTATCATTAGATACTAATGGGTTGTTTGGTAGTCAATTTGAAAACAATTGTACAAGTTTAAGAAAAAATGATGAATGTAGCTAAGTTACTTAGTACTCAATTAGTTTCAAAAACAAATAAAACAAGGATCCAAGAAGGATACCAAACAGCCCATAAGTATTTGCTCAATGCAAATTCATTTCTTGTAGCAACCCATAAAAGTTTTTTGTTTTTTATGATTTTTCTTTTTGATGCTCAGTTATGGTATTTTGCTTCTGATATGCTGCAGATTGGAAGTAATGAAAAATATCAAGGTTCTGGACCACCATTTCTTATTCTTCTGCACCCTGCTCTTGGCCCACTTTGGGAGGTCACCAGACAAAAAGTAAGTCAATGTGAGCTAATGCGCGATTTCAAGTTTTATCTCATTTTCTCCTTTTACTCTTGGAATGTGCATTTAGTTTGTATTGTATTTCTGAAATCTTTTATCACGAAATACCATATTGAGATTCTATCTGCATTGTGTTATGCCTCCATTTTCGCATGCTGTAATAATCAAGTGGTCATTTAGAAATTCATGTAGCAACCAAGACTGTGTTGCTGTGTTTGTTTTATAAGAAGTGATTTTCACACACCCTTTTTGGCCTCTTGCACACCCCTGTTTAATCCTTGCCGTTGGTTTCGTTTAATTTATTCAATATGATGGCCACAAATAAAGAGGGGCATGTGAGAAGCTAAAAGGGGTGTGGGCAAGTCACTTCCCTATTTTATTTCCTTTCCTCATTCAAAATATTGAGCTCAATAGTTAAGCAGAAAATTGTCTCTGTCTACCAGTTCTACGGAGGCTCAGTATCCGAGGGCTCTGAGTTACAAGTAGAAGTTGCAGAGTTTCTGTGGAGGAATGTTCAGGTTCATACTATTCACATACAACACATTAAGGAATATTATTGTTTCCTTAGCTAATCTGTTTCCTACTGTCCAGCTTGATGGAAGCCTGATTGTAGAGGCTGATAACGTTATGGGCTCAACTAGGATTGATCAAAATGGTGAACCCATTTTACAATATGGGCACAGGTAGTATGCTGTGTTAATCCTTACTACATTTTAAGACTGTTCAGAAATGGTGAGCCCATTTTACAATTGGACTCATACTTACAGTCTATTCATCCCGCAGGTGTGGAAGATGTAAATTGCAAAATGTAAAAGTACTAAATGATGGAATTGACTGGAACTTTGAAGACAATGTGTACTGGAAGCATGATGTTCAACGCCTCGAGGCTTGCAAGGTTGTACTGCATGGAAATGCTGAATTTGAGGCAACTGATGTTATCTTACAGGTTAGATTGACAACTAATTAGTGGAGATATGCACGGAGGATAGACAAAGTTTTTCAGAAATCATTGAATTTCATAGATTTTTTATTTATCATTCCATTAGGGATATGACCTCCAGTCATAAGCTTCTCTTCATTCCATTAGGGATATTTCCTCCGATGACTTTGGAAAATGGAAGTTACATCTAATTGTTAGGAGGTCACCTTTGCCGCGTATATTCAGAAATCATGAATTTATTTTACAAGTAAAATCTACGAAGCTTATTTTGCTGCTTACAACCGGATGCAGGGAAATCATACATTTGAAGTTCCAAATGGCTACAAAATGAAGATCACAGCGGGAGATTCGGGTATGTAAACTGTAAAGTTAACTTGGCTGTTGACTTCAGATATCTAACTCTGACTAGAATTGACTTTTCGTAAAAGCACTCTTACTGATAATCAGCATAATGTCTTACTTATTATACCTGGCAATGCGAGTATGTGAATGGTACTCTGGTCTCCTGCTATGTCACTAAAGACTGAGGGGAAATTGTTTGATGAAACATAGAAATTTATATCTGAGACTGTAGAGTTGAGCCTAACATTGAGAGTTAGAACTGAATCCCTTCCTCTCTTACACGCTCACATACCTGAATGTATTGTCACATCCTTAAATCTGTGCTAGGCAATCATCAATTGATGCACCATTTCATTGATTTTGCAGGTTTAGCCGCCCGATTAGATCCCATTGAACTGAACATGATGGATAGTGGAAGCTGGTTCTGGGAGTACAGGGTAAAGGGCACACACATTCAGTTGGAATTGGTAGAGTTGTGAAACGCTATACAAAATACTCATCCTCGTCATAGGTGAATCGTGGTTCACAGAAGGATTTGGAACTCACCCTCATAACAGCATTAAAGCCGGCATGCTCCGGTCTGACTGGTTTAACATTGTTAAACCTATTTCGTAACCTATTTCGTCTTTGGAATTGCTTCTTCTCCTTCCCCTTTTTTAAGCAGTAGTATGTTAAATTAAGAGCGTCATACCCTTAGGGTCACTCCAGCTGCTCATTGTATCTACTTATTTCTTTTATCATCGGCGTGGGGCAACAGGTTGTTGCCTCCGCGAGAAACTGATGTAAAATCGACGAAGCAATAAAATGTATTCAATTATTTCATTTTCGATCTAGCTCTTTAGTAGATCTGGCAAGAAATATGGTTGCTGTGCATAAATGTTGGGTTCGAACCATTTTCGCTCTCTTCGGAAAGGTATGAATCATATGGACTTAAAAAATGAATGGGAAAACATACAGTTCTGGAAACAAACAACACTTCGAGCTTTGGGATCAATTTGCAGTAACAAATGAACAATACTGTCATTTCTGTGCTTAATTTTCACAAATATACACCTGAATTGTATCTAACCAAACACTCTCAACACTGTCATCCAATCTGATTGTGAGATTGAAAGCAGCATCTATTCAGTAATCTAAGCAGTGCATCGGCTTTTCTTCGAGCTTTCAAGGATCCGTCCGCAGCCAAGCTCTGAAGGGAAGGAATACTCCGTGGGTTCATTAGCAGACGTCTTGCAACCTCCTCTCCTCCATCTTTGCACAGCCCCAGCAGAAGAGTGATTGAGTTTTCCTTCCCCTTTGGAGAACCAAATCTTAAGAGATCGATAAGAATAGGCACTAAAATCCTGCTTTTCCCAATCTCTTCCATCCCTTCAGAGCAACCCAAAAGCTGAGCAAGCACTGCCAAGGCATCATCCGTAATGCCTGCCTTGTCATCCATCAACAGCTCAATGAGGAGAGGAACCGCCCCAGCAAACACAGCGCTCACCTTGTTGGCATTGTAGAATGCAAGATTGAAGAGTGCTATGGCAGCATCTTTTTTACCAGCCGGAGTGCCTTCTTTCAAAAGCCCCACCAATGCCAGAATCGCTCTAGGGTGCTTTCCAATCGTTACCTTGCAGTCATCTATCATGGACAAGCTGAAAATTGCTGCTGCTGCATTCTCTCTTGCTTCCATTGTGTTCCCTGATTCCAAGACGTTTACTATGTTGTCAATTGCTCCTGCCGCCATGATCAGAATCTTGTTGTTGTTGTAGATGGAGAGGTTGAGCAGTGCAGTAACTGCATTTTCCTGTATTCTCGGTTCATGGGATTTCAGCAATGTCACCAAAAACGGAATAGCTCCCGCCTCAGCTATGATCCTTCTATTATCCATGCCGGTTTTAGCAAGTAATCTTAGCTCATACGCCGCTTGCCTTTGGATATCCGGTGAGCCAGTTGCTAGTTTTCCCACCAGAAACTCAGCTGTCAATTTCACAGCATCAACAGCAGCTTTTACAACTGAAATGTGATCCACGGCGTCCTCGTACAATTCCCTTTTACTGTTGCTCCTCTCCAAATCGGAGGAAGAAGACTGGGAAGATTCAGTTGTGGGAACGTTGTTCTCCTCGCACCATTGTTGCATTAGACTCTTGAGTGCATAGTTTGGAATCAGCGCTATGTGAATCAGCTTCTGCCCGCTTTTGGGGCACGTCTGGTGCCCTGAATTGATCCATTGTGCAATCGAATTTCGGTCATAAGTGTGCCCGGATGCTACAATAACAGGGTCTCTTATCAAATCCAATGAAATCGGGCAGCGAAATTCATGCGGAACATTGAGAATCAACGATTTAGAAGATGAAGAATGATCATAATATCTACCCGAGCGGACACACTGCAGTTTCATATCCTCTTTACTCGGTTTTTCGAATTCATCATCAGTAAAAATGATGGTCTTGCAATACGAAACAAGGGAAATGAGATTGTTTATGTTTGACACCACAATCAGCCCTCCGCTGCCTGCTTGCTTGCGAGCTTCTGCCTCAAGCTTCGAGGTTTCTTCTTCGTAATCCACGGTGTTTCTCAGGCCAATGCTGCTCAGAACATCTCTCACTTTGACCAAATCTATGAACCCTTTGTTCTTCTCACTATTGCTTCCCATCAAAACCAAAAGCTCTTCTCTTCTCTGCAGCTCTTTGAGATGGTTAAAAAGCTCCACTCTTTTCGCTTGCCGGTGAAGAAGCTCGACCTGCTCTCTTATATCTGCCGTCACCTTAAGCAAACTCAGTGGCAGAATATCAAGAGCCCTCCCCAATTCCTTCACCAGCACGTAAAACTGATTCGAAACCAACTCAGTCTGCATAAGCCCCCACAGAGAGCTCCCGTCTTTACAATCTTGGATCAGAAACTTGACTCTTCGAATCACCGAGAAAAGCTCCGTGAGGCAAAGGATCGAAGAGGGAGGAAGCGGGCCGTTTGATTCTTGTATCTCTTCGAACAGAGAAGCGAGGAGCTTGATCCTCCTTATCATGGTGGAGATGTTCCGGCCCTGCAAAACCGGAAGCTTTTCCATGGAGCAAACTTCGTTGCATATGTGAACCAATGATTGTAACAACGACCCAGTCGGCAAAAATCCCGTGGAAACCATTAGAGGAGGAACAAGAGCTACATCCATGTGTAATGTCACTATGCTTATGGCAATTGTTGGTACAAACGAGAGAAACTGCTCGGTTACGCCGTTGCAATTTAGAGTTTAGGGTTTAGGATTCAGGTTCAGGCCAAAGAGCAAACGAAACACTTTCGAGGACCTTTTCGTTGAAATCTGGAACAAGAAGAACGTTTCATAATTTTTTTGGTGTTATAAACAAAAAGTGATGGGGAAGGAAAGAAATGAATAACGTAATTGCATGGACTATTGGAATTTTCTGTTTGGAAAGTTGACATCAGAAGGCAAAAGAAAAGATGATGGCAAGTGAAGAAAAAAGGGAGGGATTCGTGGGTTGCTGCCACTTGGAGGGACGTCAGGCCTTCTAGGGTTTTATAATTCCCCTACCAAATTTTGCATTAAAAAAAGTTTGGGGACGTCGAATGTTAATTGAAGCCATTTCAAACTGCAGGTTTCTCATGTTTGTACGTGGAATGTTTTAGTACTGGTTTAGTACTGATGTCCTTTTATAAAAAATGGGTATAAAAAAAACTAAGTTCAAAAATGTGTTTGGTAAACACTTAAAAACAGCTTATTTTCACAGTTTTGGATAAAAAAAAGTTGAAAACGTGAAGCAGCAAAAATAAGCTTATTCTCACAGCATAACAGAATCAGTTTTTTTTCAAAGCACAGCAATACCAAACCAGCCCAAGAAGCATTGAGCATTCGGTGCGGAAATACCATAAATATAGGAAATTAATTGATCTTATAATTACTAGCTAGTAGTCTAATGCTACTTAAAAAACATAGCGTTGACACACTGTAATACAAATGATATTACTTACAACCGTAAAATTCAATTCTATTAAAAATGTGCTTGCAAACATATCATGTCATTGTGCAAACATATCATGTCATTGTGCATAACTGTATATAACTACATTGGTTATACGAATATTTTGTAGTCATTTCTTTTTATATTTAACTATGGGGACGGACATGTCCGTGGCATCATTTTTTTTCACAACTTTTGGCACACATTATTATTCGATCTGCTTTATAATGTATTTCAAAAATCCGAACCGTCTATCTTTTAGATCTTCATTCAAATATCATATTTACCAAAAATCACCCAAATGTGAAACCATATGATCGTTAAGGGTTTATGATTTTTTTTGTAGAACCTTGTTCGTTTATTTTCTTCATTACAAATAAATGTTTTAATAGTTTTAAGCTTATTTAATATTTTGCAAGAATGATCTATGAATGATGTTCTAAAAGATAGAACGTGAATGAAAAATCGTATAAAAAAGTAAGTGCCATGCATCCATCTCTTTAACTGCAATGTTTAAAAGTGTGAATAACCATTAGTATTAATATTGTTGATATTTCGATCTTTTTAGTTGTCAATGCACCATGCATGAATACCTCGACCACAATACAATATGGGAGAGACACCGTTTATAATGTACCATTTATATTGAAAACTCTTGCTAAATATAACTAACTGAAGACAAACAAATATATTTACACATATTACAACTCATTACGTATGGACATTACGTGTATACTATTAATTAATTACAAATTTACATAAAATAAACGAAAAGATTTTGGCCACAATTGAAAAGGACAAAAAGATGCGACTTATGGTTTTGGAGGACAATGTAAGAAAGAAAGAAAGAAAGAGGAGAATGAACGAAAGAGTGAAATTAAGATGATTGAAAATATAATATTTCCACTTTTCTTTTGTCTTACTTTTGCAGTTTGTTTGCTCGTTCATCATTTTCGGACGCACTTAATTGCCTCTAAGTTTCAAGCAATGGTCAATACTTACTGTCAAACCAAAAACCCTAGATTGTTCAATGTTCACACGTTTAGGTCTTAAACAAGTACACCATCAAGATTTAAATTTAGCAAAATGCTAGAGAAATTAGTTTTTTTAGATTATATTTTGTAAATCACATGATATAAAAAAATAATATCGGCTTTTTAAATTTATTGCACAATGAACCAAGTTTACTATCTTTTGAATTTGGATTTTTTTTAGGAAAAAAAATGAAATTAATTAAGGGAGAAGCCTTTGGAACACACGAGTCCTCTAGAGTCATACAACAGGGCATTCCTAGCTTGATAGGGAATACAACCATCCCAAATATACAAATTGTTCTATTCCACTAAATTAAAAGAGGAAGCCAACCATTTTATGTCTTCGACAATAGTTCTAATTCTCCAAAAATCTCACACCTCTCTTTTAATTGGAGATAATTAGTTGTTCTGATTTCATATTATTCATTACATAATGTTATTAATTATGATGAAGGAGATGGTGACAACTTTTTTGCCTATATATTATATTACTAAAGAAAATCCATGATGATAATAGTATTAACTTCCAAAAATAAAAGGGCTTGAATGTGCCATTCGTGTAAGAATAGTGAAGTGAAGAAAACCAATATCCATGTGGAAGATGAATCAATGGTTAAATTGAGTGACACTTGTCAAGAGATAACATAGGTTGTTATAAGGTAGTTAGTCTTTAGCTTAGTGATAAAGCTTTGTAAAAATTATATAACAGACTTTCTAAATCTGTTACTTCATTGTCAAGAAATACAACAAACTTTTATTCTCTCTAACGCTTCCGCATACTCTCTACAACATATATTTCTCTTCTCAGACTTGAAGATACTCGATTGATATAACAGTGCACGTTACATGTTTGATAAAAGTTCGAAGTGAAGAAATCTTTTGTTGTTTCAACAATGGTCACTGCGGCACAATTGTAAATTGTGCAATCACCCATTACAAATCTTATTACTACTGTATCATCTTCGGTTACAGTAAAATTTGATGACTCCAACTATCTTGCATGGAGTTTTCAGATCAATCTTTTGCTAGAGAGTCATGGCATTCTTGGTTTTGTTGATGGGTCGAAGAAATGTCCACAGAGGTTTCTTGATAAGGAAAATCTTGAAGGAATTGAATCAGATGCCTATCAAGTATGAAAAATGCATGATCGTGCTCTTATGCAACTTCTTATAGCTACGCTGCCATCCACTATGATTTCCTACATTCTTGGAAGTACCAGTTCTCATGCAATGTGGACAAGTCTCAAAGAACGATTTTCCACATTCATAAAAGCCACAATCTTTCAAATGAAGACAGAGCTACAAAATATTCAGAAAGGGTCTGATTCCATTTCTGTTTATCTACAGAAAATCAAAGATGCAAGAGATCATATTGTTGCAGCTGGTGTCTTATTTGAAGATGTGGACATAATCATTCTTGCTCTTAAAGGATTATTTGCTGATTATAATACATTTCGATGTGTTGTTCGAGAAAGACAAAATGGGATTTCATTGAAATAGTTTAGATGACAGCTTCTTGATGAGGAAGCCATAATTAGACAGTCTTGTGAGTCTTTTGTTTAATTTTAGATCTGCAATGGTTGCAAGTACTCAGTCAGAAAAAGGAAAAGCTTTTAGTCTTGAACAAATTCCATCTCCATCTCAGGGCTTTGATATAGGTTCCTCAAGCCAAGGCTACAATCCCAATTGAGGGTCTAGTTCTACTGGGTTTAATTATGGTCAAGGATCATCTTCTCAATATGGCTTTGGAAATTTCAATGGTAATTCATTTCATTCTAATGGATATAAAGGGTCTAACTATGGAGGAAAAAGAAGAGGCAGGTTTCACTACAATAATGGCCCCAGATTTCACTCTTCATCATACAACTTAGGCCCTGGAATTCTTGGTGCTCCAAAACCATTCCAACATACATGTCCTAATCATCCAAATGAGATTCCTACTTGTCAAATCTGCAACAAAATGGGTCATGTGGTTGCAGATTGTTTTCAAAGGCACAATACACCATCTACCGGAAATGGTGCAATTATACAATGTCAAATATGTTGGAAGTTTGGGCATTCAACTACTTAGAGCTACCACAGGAACAATTTTGCATACCAAGGAAGACCACCCTCAGTCAATCTCACTGCAATGCAAGCAAGTTACAATCCTTCTGCACCACCTGAACAGTTTTAGGTTGCAAATACTGGTGCCACATCTCACATGACCTCAAAACTTGCAAATCTGGATTTGGCTACTCCATATCAAGGCACTGATACCATAACCATTGCGTTTGACAATTTCTAGTATTGGTGCATCAAAACTGCAAGCTTCTAGTTACATTTTTACACTGAAAAATATGTTGCATGTTCCTAAACTCTCACAACACCTACTATTTATATATCAACTCTGCACAGATAATAAATGTAGATTCATATGTGATGATATTTCTTTTTGGGTTCAAGACAAAATCACAGGGAAAATACTTCTCAATGGACTGTGTAAAGTTGGTTATTACCTCATTCCATTTCATTCTCCACATAAGACATTACTTGCATCAAATTCACATGCATGCTACCTAGCCAAACCTGTTAATACAAACTTATGGCATCAAAGATTAGGGCATCCATCAAATGCAATTACTTCTGCAATTCTACAACACACTAAGGCCGTTGCATCCACATACAGATCTCAAACTATTTGTACACCTTGTTTGGAAGGTAAATTTACAAAATTGTCTTTCTTTTTTTCTGCAAGTAAATCTATAAACCCATTAGAAGTGATTCATAGTGATGTATGGGGGCCTGCCTCTGTGTTGTCATTTGAAAGGTCTAGGTGCTATGTTAGTTTCATTGATAAATGTACCAGATACACCTTTCAAATAAATAATAAAGCTGAAGTTTTTGAAACATTTGTTAAGTTTCATATATTTCTCAGCACTTAGTTTTCTGCAATTGTTAAAACATTTCAAAGTGATGGTGGTGGTGAATATACCAGTCACCAATTTCAAAATTTCCTAGCATCAAAAGGAATTTTTCATCAGAAATCTTGCCCATATACCCTAGAACAAAATGGCTTAGCTGAAAGGAAACACAGACACATTTTAGAAACTACTATAATATTAATGCAAACAGCTAAACTTCCATCATAGTTCTAGTTCTTTGCTTGTTCTACAACCATATACTTGATCAATAGAATGCCCTGTGTTACATTAAAGATGCAATCTCCTTACAAGTTGTTAATGGGAAAACCTCCAGTTCTTACACATATGAAAACCTTTGAATGTGCATGCTAGCCTTTAATGAAGCCATATATCAGTTCTAAACTACAACAAAAAACAATAACTTATATCTTTTTAGGGTATGCTGAAAACTACAAAGG